GCAGCTGGCGGACCTGGACCGGCTGCGGTAAGGAGGCCGGCGTCGTCCCCGCGGGCACCCCCGGGCGCAGCGCCTCACGGAGGCCTCGGGAGCGTAGGCGCAGTGCAGACCCTGCAGGCGTCGCTGTCCGTTCTGGGCTTCGGAAGGTCGCGAGAAGTGAAAGAGCCCGAATCCCTCCATCAGGAAGGGCAGCAGAGCACTGCAGCGCCAGCCAGGGGCTAGAAGCGTGTCCACTGCCTGGCCTGATGTCAGGAGCCAGTCCAGCTGGGCCGCACCGGTCCCGGGATGGGAGACCTCCACGGAAACTGTGAGCCTGTAGGTGGTGCTCTTCCCACTAGAGCAGTATCCCAGGACAGGGACTATGGATGGTGCTGCCCTTTTGGATGAGATGTTCAACGAGGTCCTGAGTACTTAGTCTTTAAAAGTCCCGTAGCACATCTTTGAAATGGTAGGGATGTTATAACTTGTGTTCTAAGTAAATCCCAATCTGGCCTCCCTAAAATTTGTTGGTGAAGCAGCTTCTCCTGGGGCTGCGCTTCAGTGTTGCACAAAGCGGGTCTCCTCCTGGGATAGTTTGGGATAAAAAGTGATGCGTGTTCCATGCGGTTTATAGTGTAACGGCCGTTATTAAACATCTCATGATACTGTATCGCACAGAAGTGGAAACCGTCTCATGGTCTCTTGTGAGCTTTGGGAGGCTGCAGGAAATCAAAGGAGCTGCTGGTCTGCCAAGAGCCAGGCACGCTGCAGGTTCTCAGTTGTGTCTTTTGGGTTCGTTGGCTTGCCGTAGACTGGAGGGGAATTATGGGATGGGCAGCCATATAGTGTCCTTGTCTTGGCGTTTGGAGTGAGTGGGGAAATAAAGCACAGGCTGGGTTGTGTTGCGCCAGCTGTGTCTACTGTCCCCGGCAGACTGTACGCTCTCTCCTCTCAGTTTGGGGCTGGAGTCGGAGCTGAAGAGTGAGAAGGAGCAGCGGCAGGGCCTGCAGAGGGAGCTGCAGAGGGAGAAGGACACCAGCACGCAGCTCCGCACGCAGCTGCAGCAGCTGGACGGCCTGCAGAAGGTCAGTGAGCACCTCCGCCGAGGTCAGCCTGCGCCGGCCAGCCAGGAGAACTTCAGGCCTCTCTACCAGGAGGCAGCAGAGGATTGGGGCTGGCTGGGGTCTGGCTGGGGTCTGGCTGGAGCTGGGCGGAGTCAGGGTGGGGCCTGGTGGGAGATGGGCAGCGTCTGGGAGGGTGGGGCCTGCCGGGAGATGGGCGGAGTCTGGGAGGGTGGAGCCTGCCGGGGAGCTGGGCGGAGTCTGGGGTGGGGCCTGGTGGGAGATGGGCGGGGTCTGTGAGGGTGGGGCCTGGCGGGAGATGGGCAAGTCACAAGACACAAGTCTCAGAGGGGGTACCAGGGAAGGGCTTCGCCTGTCCCTTTCATGATCTTCCTGGGCTTGGTGTCCTGCAAACACAGACTAGATTTGCTGCCCTTTCCCACTTACCTGGTATTAACCCTTCAGTAATACACAGATTCATCCATTCATGACTAAATCTTTTCAGGGCATTCAGCGTTTCAAACAGTTAATTTCATTCCAACATTAACTGTACAGCTGAAACTATTTGGGAGAAACGTCTGATTTTTAAGAGCGATCACCCATGCTTTTAATGACCTTTGTGAAGAAGGTTAGTGAAATGGCTGTAATGTGCGATCAGGCTTGTCCTGGACAGTGTGCGAGCCCGCAGGGTGATGGGAGTGAGGGTGACGGGCTGTTGGCTTCGTGCAGGAGCTGCTGGAGATGAGGAGGGAGAAGCAGCAGCTGCAGAAGACGTGTGAGGAGCAGGAGCAGGCCCTGCAGGAGATGGGGCTCCACCTCAGCCAGTGGGTACCCCGCCTTCCCACGCGCCCCCACAGGCTGGTCCCCGCCGCCAGCGCGCCTGTCCTGATCGCCACCTTCCCAACAGGCTCCTGGGCTGGTGATTTGACTGTGCTCTTGCTCCTGTCTTTAGGTCTAAATTAAAGATGGAGGACTTCAAGGAAGTCAACAAAGCACTGAAGGTATGCAGACCTCATCTCGGCAGCATCTTCCTCCTTGTTCCGCTAATGCTGTAGTGTGTTGAGAGACGCGCGGGCCCTGCCAGGGGGGGGGGAGGGAAAGCTGTGCCCTTCAGCCCTTCTTGCAAACGGCAGGGGCCAGTGGAGTCGGGGAGATCACAGGCGTGCAAGAAGGCGCAGCGCAGGTCAGCCGAATCTTGGAAATTAGTTTTCTTACGAAGGGGCCTTTCTTAAAAGAAAACAAACGGTTGATGCTTCGCACCCAAACATTTCCATTTCCACACTTCCATGTTAAAATAACGGTTGTTTTAAGTTTAGAAACGCCTCTAAACGTATACAGGGTTTGTGTTGATAATACTGGTCAGTGTGATTGCTCTGCAGCGTCGGGTACATCTTTCCCCCCAGCGCAGAGCACGTTTAGAATGAACCTTTTCACTTGGCTCATTGAGTGAGTGCAGTGCTGGCAGGGCTGTTGCACTGGATGGAGAACAGCAACATTGTGTTTGGTCTTGCAGGGCCAAGCTTGGTTAAAGGATGATGAAGCTACACAGTGCAAACAGTGCCAGAAGGAGTTTTCCATTTCCCGCCGAAAGGTGAGTTGGCCCCACCCCCAGGGAGCAAACACCTGCAAGAGCAGCACAGGCACTCCTGTCTTCAGACTTAAAAAAAACTTGCTTGATTGGCATAACTTGCTTCCTTTTGTATTAAAAAAGGATCTTTTCCTCCGCAGCATCACTGCCGGAACTGCGGAGACATCTACTGCAGCAGCTGCTCCAGCAACGAGCTGGCCCTGCCCTCCTACCCCCGCCCCGTGCGTGTGTGTGACACCTGCCACACGCTGTTGCTGCAGAGGTGCTCTACGGGCTCCTGACCGCCGCGGGCACCTGTGCACATCCCCTCTGTGTTTCTTGTACAGGAATCTCAAGAACATGTGGTTTATACCTCTTGATTACAATTGGGAGAACTAACAATATGAGCTTAAGTAGGTAGATGTACTTTGTCTAACGACTGAAGTACAGAAGTTTACAGTATTTGACTTCTGATGAGCAGTCGCCAGTTTCATTTGCACCTTGCTTTTTATTTAGGTTTTTCCTGCCACACACTGCACTTAAACATCATAGTGTGCATTCTGAATGTCATTTACTTGGGAATCTGACTGTTAAATATTCTTATCACTTATGCAGTTACTGTGCCTTCACTTAAAAAATAATCTGTATCATAAAACACGGCTTTTAAATATTTTGTTTCATATTTGAAAACTGAGCTGTAGAACTACAGGAGCAGCCTCTCAGTGATCTGGTTTCTGTTGATGTATAAGGCGGAGTCTAATATAATTCTGCGAAAGAAAACTGACCCCTTTCAGCTTCAGAAAGCTTGTAGGTGAAGGTCTGTGGGAGTCTGGATTGAGCTGCCGAGCTAGGGTGAGGCTCAGACTAATTAGCAAATACCCAACTGAGTCCAACTGAAACTGCTATTGTAATCTAGGTTGCATTACAAGACAAATTTACATAAGTATAAACTTTTGAGTTCGTAATGTTTGTGCTTTGACAATTTAGAACACAATTGACTAAATCCATTTTAAGTTTCTTTTTGATTTAATCTGGTGGCGGGAGTTGAGGTTTAAAACAGGTGGTGGAATGAGTGGGGAGATAGAGAAGGAGCCTGTTCCTGAATGAGATCTCTCGAAGTGGGTAAAAAGACACTCACAAGTGAACCAAAAGAAACTTGGGACATTAGAGACTGTAGAGAACCAGGTATTGCCGTGTAGGTGAGTCATGTCCTCGACCTCCTTCAGATCTCATTCAGCACCGGATGCCTGAGTTTCCTGTTACAGCATAATAGTACAGTAGCTCTACATCCTCATTCCACCTACTGGCTCTTTGGAGAGTGGGTTGCAGGTCAGAAACTGATGGTTCTACTCTGATAATCAGAAGTGCTGTCACCCAGCTTGCTAAGGTTTTACAAGTGCAAACCTATAATAAAAGTTCCTGCAGGACTTTAAAAAAAATTAGAAAGTCAGTCCAATTCTGAAATTCATTCAGCTCTGGGTTCATCGTCCAACATAAGTACTGGATGTATTTTTATGTTTTACCCCATCGATTGCAAGGGCTTCCTCCTTTTCTACTTTGGAACTACAGAAACCTCGACAAAAAAACGCTTTTAAAGTTCAGGTAATGTTCCCGATCAAGCTACTTTTAAAGTGCTCCAGACTATGCTTAACTAATTAAATTGATGCTTGTAATTTTAAACTGTCATAGTACTGCCATATGAAATCTGCAAAATCATCAGAAATGCATTTTAGTCTATGCTAGTTTTCCAATAGTACAAAAGGGAGCAGAAATCTAATTTCTGAATTTTATTAATGTCAGTCTTATGCCATTGCAGCTTTCACCAAGTAGATAAATTTTTCTGCAACTTTACCCAACCATAAACCCCAATTGAGCTGCTTTAAGTGAGAAATTATATATTGATCTAGGGATTAAGGGGAAACCTTTCCTTTTCAATCTAAATTGTCTATTATGTAAATTACACATATCAGTTGCAAGCTTTTTAATGGATAGCTGTAGCAGGCTTGTTGAGAATAGTCGTAAGACTAATTTAAGCCATCTTCTCAAATGTTAGGCATGCTTTGACTACTTTTGTATCTAGATGTTTTATATCATGTTTGTTCAGCAACCTGTTCAGGATTTAATAAATGCCTTTATGTAATACAGTGTGAACTTCTATTTGTAGTGGTGATGCATTTAAAACACAGCTGCCCGTGCCAACTCTCAAAAAAACAACACTCAGTCCAAGTTAACCACAGTGTAACAAGTTTATTTATTCTGCGCAATACAGAATCACAAACAAAGGATCACAATGCAATAGAATCGTACTTCCATCACAAAAGAAAAGGTTTAAAATGTTGCTTTGTATTGCGTTGTAAGGTAACTTCCACTAATTTTAAAAAAAGCAACTCAAACATGCTCTTCGACAATATAAAAACCCAGGTTCACACCAATGCAAGGTCTTAGACCTCAGGAAAATGGAAATGGCTGGAAATCCTTGCAGCTTCAGAACTGAAAACAGCAGTCATATCTTCATCATATTTACAAAAGCATGTTGGTTCATGCATTCAAAAAAACAACATAAGGAACAGCTTCTCAAATTGCGCTCACTCTAGACCCTAGTTCAGGCCTCTGGCCTTTCTGTTTACGGAGAAAATTCTCTACAGCAACTTAAAAAGTACATACAAACGGAAGAGAAGAGAAGGAAATCAAAAATCATACACACAGGTCTGAGAGCGACATCCCAGGGGCTGTTTCTGTCTAGACCGTCTACCAACCTGGAAATAACATTTCAGTGATTTGACAACCCCGATCTCCACGTCCAGAAAGCAAACCAACTAATCTGTTATTGCAGCTCCAAAGTCTCCATGTTGAAGTAGAAAATTAAATTTGTACAGGATCCCCACTCCCCCCCCCCCTTCCCAACACCCACGGAGGGGTTACATTCCCCACCCTCCGCTCATGTTCATGCTGTTCGACATTCCGCCCATCCCGTTCATCCCCATGGAGCCGCGGTTTCCACTTCCGTAGTAGCTGCTGCTCATCCCACTTTGATTACCTAACAGGAGAACAAAACGGGAGCTTCAGGATTCTCCGAGCCCCTGGCGCTGCATGGTTTCCTCGCAGAAGAGAAATTACACTCGCCCCATGAAGTACGCATCCTATCAGAATAGCTTACTAGATATACTTTAGTGCTTCTTACAATCTAGGGGGACACAGGGATTTCTAGACAGGCATCAAATGCCACAAGTTAGGGGTCCAGCCCTGCATAAGTCTGGGGCAATCTTAACTGGGAATGCAAGTGCATCCGGCAATTTCAGGAGCGCATGAAATGGTAAGGGCTGCAAAACAGACTGGTGCAGGACCCGTCTTCACAGCTCTCCTCCTTGAAGGACCCTGGTGTCTTGTCTTTCCGCTCATTAAGAGCTCTATTTGGACCAATTCTGCAGATTTCTCACGTTTCTTTGAGGACACCCACAACGCCCGCAGGGTTATGGCACTCAAGGGTGAGGAGCTGTGCAGCGCATCCTGCGGTTAGCGGTTTCTCCAGATCAGTCATTACACTTTGAAAGCCAGCACTCAAGACTCCCAGAAAACCTACTGGGTCACTGCTTGTTTTGCTAGAGGAAAACCAAAATCGAGCAGGAGCGAGAAACTAGAACTCCCAGGATAACGGGGGAGAGGGAAATCAGGGCAAAGCATTACAGATAACATCTGGGTTAAACAATTAAGAAATGCAGTTATGGCAAAACTAAACAGACAACTAAATGTTGTAAAAAAAACAGGGGGCTGAAAACTCCCATAGAAACGAGCAATGGGAAAACACTTGCCGTCTGAGGTAATGGTGCAGTTCTGCTCTTAGATATGAGAAGGGCGTTTTTGTGCAATCACTGTAATAGGATGTTGCATTTGAGTCGTCCCCGGATTTGCTTCCTGCAATGTGTTTGTTCCGGCTGACGTTAGGATAGCGGACCAATCATGTTGTTGTGGATTTGCCGGCCAATAGCTTTCGACGGAAGGTTCGTTTTTATGGCACGCTACGTCATAGATATGTTTAATGTCCAGGCCTGCATTTGAGAGAAGTTGCAAAGCGGTAGCACAGAAGGAAAGGTTTGTGTACCTCCAAAATAACTTTTCAATTTAGACGTACATGGCCAAAACACACTCAGCATGCACAGGTCTGTGCTCAGTGTGTACTGCCCCTTAGTCACCAGAGTACTCCTTTATAACTAGGCTTGGGAGGATGCAATCACCAGTAACTGTTTCTTTTCCTCATGCAAACATTTCCATTGCTATGCTGGCACATTATGGTCCCAACAATACGTAAGACGGGGGGGCAAAAAAGTAAAGAAAGCTAATTGTCTGTAAAACTCTTGCCTTAAGCAGGTGTCTATTTGCAACTAAGAATATTCTCCTGGTTCCAGATATTTATGACTGCTGTTACTGTTACACAAGAAGGACTGGGGACATTTCACCCATTTTTTCTTTTCAGGGCATCACACATGGTTGGAGTCTGGTGCAAATGAGCACTTCTCACCCATGACAATCTAGAATTACAGATCAGAGATTACAGATCTGACCTTATGCCAAATAAGTGATCAAAAGCTTGTGAAAAACAGCAAAATAAAAACTGAAAGAAATAATGGGTTTACACATCCACCAGTGAACACATGATAAAAACATTTTAATTCATTTCAAGAAAATAACCCATTTGGATAATTAAGAGTTATCTGTGATTGGGGCAATTAAAGTGTTAAAATACCTGTGCATAAACTACATGAACAGATGATCTCGACTGTAACTACTGGCACATTAAGTGTTCTAACAGAAAAGAGGAGAACAGGAATCTTACGGGAGTCTTTTTTTCCAACAAAAGTTCAATGCCCCAATTACTTCCAACTAATGCTCAAATTTGAACTTGCAGACTCGCTTCCCAGCAAGCACGGATATCCGTAACAATGACAGCGAAAAGAATCCTGCCAAGCCTGTTTATAACGAAGCACTCATCATTAGCACGAGTACAAACGTGGAACAGCCTCACAGGTGCGGGGGTTGACCGCACTGGGCATCTGCCACTGACCGCAGAGCCTCACAACAGATACTGGACATTGCACATCCCAGAAACCTAGTCAAAGCTAGCCTGATGTTCAGGTGTGGGTGGGCGAAGGATTTTTAAAACCAGATCTTAAATGCTGGATGATAAAAAACGAAATTACTCCTTTAAGTACAACAGTACAGTACACATGGCTCTGTTTTGACCTGTGAACCGAACTTGCTCTACCTACTAGTAACTGCTTTTACATGAGCTGTATGTTTCTAACTCGACCCCATCCCCGCCCCAAAGAAGAAGAGAGTCGACACTCACTGTACTCACCGTAGCCGCCAATACTTGCTTGGCTGCTGTAGCCCCCTGTGTATCCGCCGCCCATCTGCTGGTTACTGGGGCCGTAAGTAGACTGGTTTGCTGCAGAGGAAGAGCAGTCCGTCGTTAGTGAGCGGCACGGTGCTCTGACCGTGCTTCCCACTGCGCTGACTGAGTCTCAGAAAGTCACGGTGGTAAAAACAAACCGTTCTGTCTACACAAAACCACAACTGACCAGCAGCAAAATTCTTAAGGGGTCCAAAGCTAAAGGGAACAGATTCTGAAACAGGAAGATGCCTGTAAGATTTAACAATGCGAAGTACTGCAAAGATTTGCAAAAGCACAAGAAGGACTGAGTGGAAGGAGTGTATGATGAGAAGGTTGAGGGCTGATAAAGTCTTCAGTCCAGCAGTGTGGAAAACTGGGTTGGGCTCAGGACCCTTAATCAAGGTATTTGACTCAAATGGCTTCTGCAAATCCAGGTGTAAAGAACTCCAAATGCAGTACGTTCCACAAACAACACTTGTTACAACGGCCAAATCATACTTTGTGAGAGTATAAGTACAGAATAAAACTGAAATTAGTCAAACGATTTGCACAGCTCGTATTTTAACACATTTAATTGGTCAGCGTTTTTTTTTCCCAAAGGATGAACACGCAGGGAGACGGTGCAGAACAACTTACCCATTGCCCCCATCATCTGGCTTCCATAAGCTCCATTATTACCCCCAGCTGTGGAATTCAGGAACAGCTCTACATAGCGGTGTTCTGAAAGAGGAAAACACAGAAGGAAGTCAAAGGACAGGGTTATCTGCAGAACTAATAATACCCCCACTTGCACTCATTTCACACACTTTACAAAGTACTCCAGTAAAGGGAAATTAGCTACCATCATAATACACTAGCCCAAAAACTGAAGGGTTTAAACACCATAAACTAAAATATTTAGTATATTTCAGTGGTTTCTGCTCTGACAGTGCTGAGGCACAGCCTGGCAGACTTACGCATGTTTGCTTTGTCTTTAGACATGGCAGCCACAGCATCCTCATGTGTTGCAAACTCCACATCAGCCTCTCCTGTCACTCGGCCATCCGGGCCAATCTCGATGTGAACTCTCACTGGGTTCAGCGGGGAAAAAAACTGGGAAGGAGAGAGGAAGGAACGATGAGCTTCACCTTTCACACTTCCAGCTCCGACCCAAGATTTCCCGAAACAACACGATTACACGAGTACACAAAAGAATCCACACTCCATTTCATTACACTCAAAACTGAAGGGTTAATGAGCTGTGCTTCCTCCTCAGGCACCCACAATCTAGGACCGACACCTCAGAGCAAGATGAGAAAAGATGTCTCTAACTGCAGAGGGGATAACGACTGGGTGATACTTTGAGGTTCTGTAGAGGGGCCTGCGATGTTAAGGTGAGAAAGCTTCCAGTGCTGACTAATCTCAAAACCTGCATTTTTACTCAAACCGAATGGCAGCAGCAAAAAGCATTTCGCTATTTTAACCTTGCAGTTCTACATTGAGGTTAACTAGAAAAGATGAGCCCAAATCCGAGTCTTGTTTCCCCATCCTTAATACGGGAAAATAAATGACAGCACAGGAGTGCATCAGCTGTACACCCCTAAACCCGAAAACAGACGGACAGAAGAGCCGGCCTGTCGTGTTCCCTGTCGCCGAGGACAGGCACTTACGTTGTAGATGTCGGTCTCTGTGGCCCTGTAGGGCAGACCCCTCATGTGCACGCAGTGGCCCGTCGTGCTCTGGAATGTGGAACTCCCATCGCCATAGCGGCCGTCCGACACCCCTACAACAAAGAGGAAGGAGAGGAAGATTATGGAAGAGCCCCAGGTGCCTTCACAAATCATCAGGAAAAAACAAGAAAACCTCCTCTCGTGGTCCTACAAACCATCTGCCTAGCACCCCCTCGGTTTAATTAAAAAAAAGGCTGTAGCCTGCGAGTCTAAGCAGAACAACTGAGAAGTCTTGACTATTAGTGGTAACCAAAGGCATGAATATAGTAAAAAAGGTTTAACATGCCTTCAGTACCTCGTCCAAACCGCTGGTCGGAGCCAAAACCATAGCCATCACTGTATCCATTGTAGTCATCATAACTACCATAGCCTGAAAAACAAGAGTCATCAGCTTTAAAAAAAAATACTGGTCTAGATACCAGCCGTCAAAACACTTGCAACAGTAATGTTAGCATTACAAAAGGCACAGAAGCCTTGTTAAGCAAATGTTTAGCCGATCCAATTCTAAGCACCTGTTCTAACTACCAACAACCAGCCCCTGGAAAAACAAGGCAGTGCGGGAGATTTCACCATTGAGATTCCCAGCTGTTGAAACCCTGGCCACGACACTACAGGCGCTCACGCCAACGCAAAAATCAGAATGACTTACGCCTTCACGAGAAGCCGAGGCACAACGAGCCCCTGCACCATGCAGCGCTGTGCAAGAGCAGCTCTCCGCCGCAGTGCCACCCCGGAACTGAACCACCACCCCCACCCCCCCGGAGGCCGACTATCCTCTGGGAAAAACGGGAGCGCTTTCCCGTGAAACAGCCGCTTACCGCCGCCGTAGCCTCCCCGGCGCATCCGGTCGAACGAGCCGCCGCGGCCCATGTTGGTGTAGCCCCTCCCGCCCCCCGGCCGGTCGTAGGGCCCAGGGCGCTGCATGCCCATGGCCTTGCGCGGAGGCTCATAGTGGGTACGGACCTCCGCCCGGCTGCTCTTGAAAATCTCAATATACCTAAGACCGCACAAGACAAATTAGTGGGCATTTAGCAACAAGCAAGGGGCAGAGTCTTTACACTATGGTCACAAAAGTCCAAAATTATGAATGCCAACATTTAACAGGAATGTATTTTAAAAATCTTTAAAGTCTTCTGTCTTTAAGAGAGTAATTTTTGTGCACAGCCTTCTTGGAATTAAAAGGTGCAAAAAAATTCCTTTCAATCCTGGTTTTGAAAGGCACTTTAAAGATTTTACATGAATTAGAATTTACTTCTCAAGGAGTGCAGGACGTGCAAAGTCAGAATTACACTGACTCTGCAAACAAATCTCTTTAAGGTGTCATATCTTGGCATTGTTTTGAATAAGATTTGAAGGTTTTGCAATAAAAAAATAAGACTTTTCTTATGGTTACCTGGAAATCCTAAGCATCATCTTTTGCATGTTATATCAATGCCATACTCCCTTAGTGACTATTGCATCCTACACTTGAACCAGTACAGAGATGTTACACCAGGTGCAGTACACACTTGCCCAGTCCACATGTTACCTCTAGTAGCAGGGTCCAGGCTGTCCCATTGCTTGATGCAGCAGTCATTGTGAATTGTGTGTCCCTGAGATTATGTCATGTCAAGACAGTGCTGAGCATCACCATCGCTGGCTTTTACTTGGAGTGGAACATCACACTATCCTCACTACTCCCACATCAGGAGCTTGCAGTTACTCAGGCAGTGCAACAGTACATACTCTTGTAATGTTCACGTTTATGCCAATACAGATATTACACCGTCGGGCATTGCGTGAAACATAAATCAAGTAGAACAAAAGCATATGTTTGACCACATCAGTCAATCACTAAGGCTGAAACAGAATTTCTCGAGTTCATTTATCCATACAAACAACCCCGATGTGAAACCCCTTGGTGGCAAATTAACTGGCACCAACAAAACACGTGTGTTGTGTGTTTTTTGCCCGTGTTATTTTAGAGCATTTTTCTCTATAATCTTTTTAGAGACACACGCAGTGTTTCTGTCCTACATGCCCTGAGCACAGGCTACACCATCGTAAAATGGCTTCTCCACACAGCCATCGTAAAAACGGCACCACAGAGAGGAAACTGTGGTGCACGTTCAAACGGGATGAGGAGGGAAGCATTCTGCGCGAAGAGCACACAGTGGCTGACTTTCTCCTTAAAGCAGTGAGCACCCTCTTGTGGGCACTGCTGACAGTACAGCTCTATCACACTCCCATCATCACTAGGGCCAAATGGAACTGCTCTAAGGGACATGGGCTTCACAGAACCAGGCCAAACTAACATATGACACCTGTCCAAACCTCCTTCCCGTACATCAAACTCAATGCAAACAAATGGCATGAAGATGATTGTTACACTGCCTGAGTAATTGAGGACTTGTGAGGGGGATCACAGTTTAGCTTTAAGGAATATACAGATTCAGAGCTGCAGATTAGTCTTTTAAAGGAGGAAAACATTTGCCTGTCTGGTTATTTCAGCAAGTTCCTCACATGCTGTGTAGCTCTAAATCACTAACATTTAGAGACCACAGCCATCCCCAATTCAGGAGATGGTAAACATTGAAAGAACGACACTCCATGCTCAGATCTGTCCTACACGTGTTAAAATTCAATCTACTGCTCAGCTCTAGGTAAAAGAAATATTAAGTATGGCTTATTTGTGGGGAAAAAAAAAAGAATATCTTGGACTTTCTCCCACAAAAGGCTGTGAATATCTTGTTTGTGTCTGTGTGTGTGTTCCAGTGATTTTGAATGTATACCATAAGAAAAGCGACTTAGCCATCCAACCATCCATCCCCACCTGTGCCCTATTCTTTCCTTGTGTTTCTTTAGAGCCTTTTCAGCTATATCCTGTGAAGCAAACTGCACGAAGGCCTCCCCCGTACTCCTCCCCTGGAAGTCCACCGGCAATGTTATCCCATTTGGCACGATTTCCAACCCTTCAACCCAAGGACAAATAACCCCAGCAGGGGACATATTAAATCACATGCCCAATCACAACGTTTACTTAATGCATCATACATACCAGACGCTCTCGGACGATAACTGCATTGGGACATAACGAAAATGAGGTACAGCACACAAGCCCACACGGAAGAACATTTAATAGGGCTCCTCATTACCCCCCCCCCCTGCAGGTGGCTTGCCTAAAACTCCCGGACATTTAAAGAGAAAACGGACCCTCCAGTGTTAAAACTTGAGCCGCCAGGTGTAGATCAAGCAGGAAACTGATGGCCTGCAGGAAACGGGCCCGCACAAGGGATCCAAAAAGAAACGGCCAGAGGAACAGCTCTCCGAACACAGGCTGCAAACTCACCCACTGGATGGAGCTTTTTGGATCGTTCCCTCAAGACCCACTTTTACATTTAAAATCGATGGGGGGGGGTTAAACAATGAAAATGCTTACAACAAATGCTGCAATATTACAAACATGTTCTCTCTCTAACGGAGTATAACCACATGCGGTATTAGAAGCTGCATAAAACGGAAAACATTCAAAATACACAAAAGGTCGTGAGGCTAAAAAAGAAACTGCATGTAACGCACCTGAGAAAAACTGAACTATTTCTTCTTTGCTGCAGCCAAAGGGAAGCCCTCTGAGTCGCACCAGTCCATCCCCAGCAGACTCAGGGCAGTTGGGACCAGTGTGTTTCAGAACCCAGTCCATTTCAACATTATTTGATTTGAACACTGAAATGTGAAAAAGTTACCAACCCATTAGAAAAATATCTTAGGATTCCGTATTTGAGCCCCAAACCATGTTCATATTTCAGTCTATGACGAAAAAGATGAAACGCGGCCCCTTACCTTCAACGTATCTGTGTCCCATCGTCTCCCTATCTTTCTTAACGGCAATTTTCAAGTCCTCATCCGTCTCCAGCTCTACAAACGCTTCTCCACTTGGCCTGCCCTCTCTGGTGTAGGTGAAGTGGATGCCATTCGAATCGTTCGCAATTTTGCAATCTGAAAGGGAGGCGTTCACTTTTGAAACACACAGGTGGCAGCAGGCCTACGAACCATGCAAACCACAAAAGGCGTTTACATTTTCCTAAATTTTGTATTTGAAATGCCCGACCTATTCAGATGCAGTAATGCTTTAAGACTGTCACTGTACTGTGGAATAATCGCATTACAGCGATGCTTTTATCCAGGATAATGTACCCAAAGGAATGAAGATGAGACAAACTGCACTGGCGGAGACTTCTTACCTGAGAAAAACCTCTGGACCTCTTCGACCGAGCACGACCAGGGCAGCCCCCGAACGCGCACCACGAATCCCTCGCCTTCAGCCATGGCTCGCTCCGAGACGGTGTCTGTGCAGCGCTGTCTGAAACACACACATGCAGTTTCAACCGAGAGAGGAGACCCCCCCACCTGCGTGCGCATGGAGCCCACACCTCGGGCTCCTACCCTGAACCCCGCCGCGACGTGCCCCGAGGCAAGGTTCAAGGATCACACCGCAGGAAAAACACACCGATCAATACTGCTGTTTTGAACGCGGCTCTCTTATCAGTAACACTACCGTTCCTGAAGTACACACTGACTCGGCTTCAGCGGCTCAACACTGCCACAGTCACGGCACAGAGAGGTGTTTTACAACATGCGACAACTTAGCCAAGGACAGAACAGGAAACCGCAGGTTTCAGAGTTTTCACAACGCTTTCGGTTTCCTCTTCGCGTCGCTCGGTACGTTTCGATCAAACCAGTAAAGAGACGTGAACCGCTTCCCCGTTCACCAACTCGGAGATGCCGTATTTCTCCAAAGGTGAGGTAGCTCTGACCACCCACCAACAAAAAAGTTTTGTGCGTTTTTGGCCGGTTCCAACAAGCGAATAAACTATTAATCTTTACACTTTTTGGCGAATTCCACAGAGCACAGCGAGGCTGTGCTACTCTTTGCGACGATTAAAAACACCCCCGGACACGCGATTGGCGCCAGGAGCACTCGGTGCCCTCGGGTCACGGAACCGAGCCGAGCCGCACCGGGGCCCCCGAACCGGGCCCAGGCTTCCGCATGGGGTTCATGCACGGCGCGTCGGAGAGAAAATTCAACCTCTGAAAGCAGACAATTCCCGGATAAGCATCAGAGGGAGGGGGATGGGAGAACAGAACACGGCACGGCGTCTTCATCCGGTCTCTGAAGCCGGTTGCTCTATAAAGGCAGCCCCGCCGATTACAAACCGAGGCCGGTATCCTCGCTCCTAACAGGGTCGTGGAAGGGCAGCGCTGCCTCAGACACCCCGAGTACCCGTGCCGGACCACGCCGGCTCCGCGGTGCTGCGGGCGGGCGGGCGGGCCGACGGGGCGGTAGGCCATCTGGCTCCCAGCGCCGACATCTTAGATCCACGGACACCGCGCCAGCCGCCGCACTGGCAGGGCAGATACCGCCCGATCGGGAGGGATTACTCGACCCGGGCGCTCTCTCACCACCGAAATCCGCCCCACGGGGGGGCTCCCGGGCCAGGCAGCGCCGGCTCTGTCGAGTTAATCCGCGGGAGGCCTCGCTCGCCCGCTCGGAGACCCAGACAAAAGGAACCGCAGGCCGCGCCGCGCCGGCCGGAGACCCGGGCCCAGCAAATACCCTCACAGGCGGGACACAACGCGCAGAACGAGCGTCACGAAGAGCTTAAGCTTCTTAATGAGTTACTTCAACAAAAAAATACCTCAGTTCTCCGTCGAATACTAGTATTATTGTTACCTTTTTTTTTTCCAAACCTCCGGCTTCCACAAGCGTGGCTACACTCCCCTAGCTCCTCGCGCCTGCGTTAAACTGACCCGAGCGCGAGACTGCGCGGCGCGGCACCTGGGCAGGACGGGTGACGTAGGACGCACGGACACGTCCGGGGGGAGGGGTGTGTGTGACGTCACATCCCCGGAAGTCCCGCTTTCTTCATCGGCGTGCCTAGCGTGGCCTTGGCGCGGTATTTGTTGAGCAGTTATTTTTAGTTAAACGTGTAAACGGTTGACAAAGAGTTTGTATGATTTCGCTGGAGCTGATGATGGTAGGGTGGCAGCCTAGTTTAGGACCTTAGACCATGCAAGTACCGCTTTCCGCGTGTAATTACTGTAGAGCCCGCATATGCGCACTAAACACTGTCGTTAGGAAATGTCACTAGAGACTGCTTATTAATACAGTACAGTAGCGCTTAATAATAGTATAGTAAGAAGAAATAAAATCTACATCACACCTGATCATAAACCAAAACAAGCGATAAGAATAGTTTTATGAATACCCTGGCTGTCGAAAAGACTAAGGGCCCATTTCTGTAGCCCTTGTAGTACCGGCGCTGTTTCTTTAAAAGGCCTCTCAGCAGGCTGTTATGAAGGCGACATGCATCGCTTAGTATCGACAGAGATATGCTTTCCCGACCCCTCCTGCTCTGCGCTGGCGCTATTTCGGCCTTAAGTGAAGAGGAGGTTAGTATTTGCCAAATAAATAATAAACCCGTCCTTCAGCAATGCGTGCCAGACTGGAGTGCGGTTTTATTTTAAAACGAATCCACAGCTGAGCGTCTCGGGGAGCCGAGATTTTAAATTTTAAAACCGGTTCATTGAGCATTCATTGAGAAAGGTTAAACACGAGAAGATTCCATCTGCCCCGTTTGGTGACTCAATAAACAGACACATTGCTTAGTCGCGGGGAGCCGTCAAGCCTTTAACAAAAATACATATTTAAAAAAAAAAACATGAGTATATTGCTTTACATGTCCATTTATCTAGGGTACGTTGAACAATTTGGCGGGATTCTGTATGATACTCAGAATAGAGAGGGAAATTATCTACTTTCGCCGAAAGAGAATGAGTAAAAATGAGACTCATCCGCACGGGGAAAGTAAGTGTGCAGAGACGCGTCCATGGGCAGAATTTGATTAATTTTAATAGCATTATAAAAGAATCCGCTTGTGAGTACTAGCAGGAGCAGTACCGGAGGCCCCGCCCACAGGGCGAAGCCCCCCGAGCGCTCATTGGTGACGCTCTCCCAGAGCCCGCCCAGTCCAGGGACGTGCGCACGCTGATTGGCGCAGCCTGCGTCACAGCGCGCCGTCCGGGGCTCCGAGCGGAGGCGCCAGACTTGAATCTCGGATCCGAGCGGCGGTCGCAGTCTGACGGGTTTAGGCGCCTCTTCTCGCCCGGTTTGTCTACCTTCAGAGACGGTGCAGACGTTGCCTCGCCTCGCCATGGCCACTCCGCCCAAGCGAATGTGCATCAGCCCCACGTTTGACAACAGTTTTGAAAAAAGGACGAAGAAGATTTCAGTAGAGGGCAACATAGGTAAGTCTTTGCAAACGGACGCTTCGCCGTGTTGTGGTTCCAAAATACAACCCTTTTTTTTGTTTTAAAAATAATCGGATATTCCAAATCTAGTGCGTTGTTTTTGTTTTTTTTAAAAAAAGGCTGAAATGTTGCTTAAAATGTTCTTGTGAACCGCGGCGGGAAGGGCTGATGGCGCCGTGCGGTCCGTGGTCGCCCTGCTGTGTCTGCCGCCCTCTGGGGCTGCACACGACCCGGGAGAGCCGGGTCCAGAGCGGGACACCGGGGCGGGGTGGCCGCAGGCTGCTGTCCAGCGGCTGTCCAGCGGGTGTCCGGCTGATGATCTTTGTGTGAAGTTCGGGTTTGGCGCCAAACTGGAGCGGAGCTCTTCCGCCTCTCCGCTCGCCCGAGTGTGTGCGTGCGTGTGTGACAAATATAATTTTAAAAAAAAAACAGCGATTTTGTTATGATTTTTCACAAGCACGTATTTTCCCTTGATTTGTTTTTGAATGATTAACTGACCTGGACAGAGTTATGAACGGGGTTGAACGAGTTCACGGAGGGAGCTGCGTCAGCACGCGTGGTATGGCCTCACTTGAGGTAGCCCTGCTGTGCGTTTACTACATAAGAGAGATTGCAGACTACAGGAAGCCCTTCGGCTCCTCTGGTAGCGGCAAGCGGAGGACAGGGTGTCCGGCTGTGTCGTCTCATAAAACAAGCACCAGCTTCAGCAGCATGGCTGGGCAGCGTGTTCCAGTCCCCCACCACTCTCTGTGTAAAGTCCCCGTCCCCCCCCCCATGCTCTTGGCTATATATTACCCTTTCCCCGATATTAAGTTCAGTTTATTTGTCATATGCACAAGAGCAGTGAAATGCTTATTTGCTTATATGCTCCAATACAAAGACAGAACAACAGCAGCCGCAAAAAGTCAAATAACATACAACTTCAAAAAAAAAAAAGTCAGATAAGCAGTGTGAGAAGAGAAAAGGTCATCAGTATGAGCCAGTGGAAGGGGTAGAGTTCAGCAATCTGAAACTCCTGGATATTCCTGCCTGTGTCCTGCGCTGTCTGTGAAACCGTTGCCCCTGTGCAGAGTGAGGTCATTCTGCTCGCTGCCCTGGCCAGGGCCCCTGGGTAAGAGGCCTGGATTGACAGGGGACATGTCCGCCCTTGATCCCCACTCACGACAGCCCGGCTGACCGCCTAGCCTTTCCCTCCCCAGCTGCTGGGAAGTCGACGTTCGTGCGCCTCCTGGAGAAGACGTCCGACGAGTGGGAGGTGATTCCGGAGCCGATAGCCAAGTGGTGCAACGTCCAGACGAGCGAGGACGAGTTCGAGGTACGGGGCCTCTGGCTGCCCCCCCCCCCGACACCGGTCCGCTGGGCCGGCGCTCCGAAACGCTCGGCATCTGTGCAGCCCGTCGGGCCCTCCCGCTGTCCGTGAGTTGGGAGGAACGTAAAAACCGTGCAAGAGAGAGGGGGGCTCTCCAGCTCACTAGGGTTTGAGGGGCCGATTCCCCATGCAATATGGCTGTTACACCCCCCTGCAGCTCTCTGGGTAAAGAAATGCCTCCTGTTCCTGGCTTACAGTGCACCCAGTCGAGGTTTCTGCTTTCTTATGCATCACGGCAAAGGGTTCTTTTTCGGTGCCTTTTACTTGTTCAGCACTTATTCAAGAATTAAAAGGTGGTTTTTTTAGCTTCTTAGGATTGCAAATGGTAAAGTGTTTAATCTGAATTGGTTGAGGGAAATAATAATAATTGCTTACACTTATATAGCGCTTTTCTGGACGCTCCACTCAAAGCGCTTTACAGGTAATGGGGACTCCCCTCCACCACCACCAGTGTGCAGCCCCACCTGGATGATGCGACGGCAGCCACAGTGCGCCAGTACACTCACCACACACCAGCTATTAGTGGGGAGGAGAGCAGAGTAATGTAGCCAATTCATAGATGGGGATTATTTGGAGGGCCAATGGGAAATTTGGCCAGGACACTGGGGTTACACCCCTGCTCTTTTCAAGAATCGCCCTGGGATTTTTAATGACCACAGAGAGTCAGGACCTCGGTTTTACGTCTCACCCGAAGGACGGCGCCTGCTTGCAGTCTAGCTTACAGCCCTCTAACGCCCCCTCTGCCCGCTGCCAGGAGCTCAGCACGTCCCAGAAGAGTGGGGGCAACCTGCTGCAGATGCTGTACGACAAGCCCAGCCGCTGGGCCTACACCTTCCAGACCTACGCCTGCCTGAGCCGCGTGCGCTCGCAGCTGCGCCCGCCTCCCGCCAAGCTGCGCGAGGCCGAGCGGCCCGTGCAGTTCTTCGAGCGCTCCGTGTACAGCGACAGGTGAGCCCCAGCAGTGTTCACGGCTCTGATTCCGTTTTCTGAGGAGATGCCAGTTAGGTTTATTTATCATTTGTGGGTTTTCGCCGTATGGTATTTGTATACGACGTACAGATTTTGCCCTCTCTCCTCCAGGTATGTTTTCGCCTCCAGCCTGTTTGAGTCGGGCAGCCTGAACGAGACGGAGTGGGCTGTCTACCAGGACTGGCACAGCTGGCTGCTCAGCCAGTTCGAGTCGCAGATCGAGCTGGACGGCATCGTGTACCTGCGAGCCGAGCCCCAGGTGAGCGGGTATCTCCGGGGCACCACGCCGGGGGCGGCGGGTTTCCGTTGCTTACTCTGTGCTACCCCAGGGAGGGGTACAGCGACCTCGGCCCTCCCGGGCTGTGCCTCTGTCCTTTTCCGTTTCCCAGGGTGAGGATGAGGCAGAATTGAGCATGGCGGAGATGGGGACTTGGTCCTCCTGTGGGCTCCTGAACATTGCCAAGCTCAGAATGCGCAGGTCTGCTGTTGAGCCCTAGAGTCTCTCCCAAGACTTCAGTGCTCAACAACTTAGATCATTTACATGTATGCTTATAAGATCACTTTATTGGCCATATACAATTTCTTGCATTAGGAATTTGTCTTTTCGCAGACCCCAGCTTGCTCTCCATGAGACACACAGACAGGGAGAGAAGCTGGGGGTCAGAGCGCAGGGTCAGCCGTTTAACCCTCCGCCCTAGATTATACACCTGCGCCCACTGGGAAAGTAGTCTTTACTCCTAGAAAATGGGCCAGGAGTCACTCCAGACATGCGCTGACCCTGTGCTGTCCCCCCCCTGTGTACAGAAGTGTATGCAGAGGCTCCACCTGCGAGGCCGCGAGGAGGAGCAGGGCATTGAGCTGGACTACCTGGAGAAGCTGCACTACAAGCACGAGTGCTGGCTCTACAACAGGACCACGAAGTGAGTGAGCCTGCCTGCGCGGGGGTGTGCCCTCTTTATCTTTCACGTTTTAACGTGTTCTTGTCAGATTCCTGGATTGGTTTATACTGGCCAGCGCAGTGTTCTCTTGGTCCGAAAGCCAAAAGGCCAGAAAGATGAGTAACTGTGTTCTAGTTGCCAAGGTTTAAAGTTTTATCTTTTTTTTTTTCTTCTCTTGTTTTTTTTTTTCTCCCCCATAGCGTTGACTTTGAATACTTGAAAGACCTCCCGATTCTGGTACTGGATGTTAACGACGATTTCAAAAACGACAAGATCAAGCAAGAAGCCATCATGGACAAGGTGGGTTTGCTGTCGCCAGGCAGCCAGCACCGCTCTGCTCCGCTGCGCGTTTGTGCTCTGCAGCAGAGTGCAGCAGGAGCACGTCCACACCCCACAGACACCTTTGTGCTAAGGACACGCTGGGTTCCAGGTTGAGCTTGCTCCAAGGCGATTGAGTCTGTGTTCAAACATGAAGCGTCTAGAACGAAGGCGCGCTCGGACTTTCGAGAGATGCGGCTGTACCTCTCGGAGGACACCGGGTCTCGTGCAGCTGATGGCCTTGTTTCTCAAGATGTCTTTTGTCTCCGTGTCCGCAGGTTAAGGAGTTCATGGGCACTTTGTAAGGCTTGGATGAAAAGGGGAGCTGTGAAGCGTCGCACTTAAACCGGGTCTCCGGACATGAAGAGACGTTTCCGGTGTTTCTGTTTCTGCTCGCAGGGCGGCAGTGTGGGGGCTGAGAGACACGAACAAACAGAGCCACATCCCCACATGACACACAATGCAACCCTGTCCCTCTGTTCAGATGTGCCTGGTCATGAAGAAATCTTTTTTTTAAAAAAAAACACCTACAAAGATTTTCTTGTAGAGGTGATATTTTACGTGGATCTCTTTGATGCATAAACATTTTTAATGTGATTTTACTCATTATGGCCACCCTGTGTGTAATAGCCTGTGTACAGGAATGAAAGACCTTCTATTGACCGAGTTCCTCCTCTGTGCTTTTACAAAGTGTTGGATCCGCCTGTTGCTGCTGCTGGGGACTGGTTTTTCTTAGCAGATTGACGACTCCAGGGCACACCTGGTTTCTCTGTGCATGCCACAGAAGGGCTTCACACCTCAGCTTCTTTCTACACAACGCATTGTTCTAAGGCAAACATCAGGACCGTTATCCTTTTGTCTCCCCTAGACTACATTAACAGGTGGTAATTGGTTATATTCTTGATTGTTTGCACAAGTAAAACAAAAATCTGCCTGCTAGTTATATTCCGGATCCTGTGTGCAGGGGTTCCACTGAATATAACTTGAGTTCAGAGTGTGTCTGTACATATTTTACTTTGGCGTGTATATTTATAAAGGGAAGGGTGGGGTTAGTGATGCATTTATGCAGCTGATATTTTCATATAGAAATGTATTTAAAATGCAATGAAACTTCTGCATTAAAGCTTGTACAATTTTAACTGGTTTCTTGTTTTTTTTTTTTTTTTTTGCTGCTTATGGAGGGAGAACATGGATAGAAACCCCAGTCTTGGGATTTGACCTTGAGATTTGAATCCATGTAACGAGTGGTGTTTTATCACCCACAACAAAAATGTGATCGGAGTAAAAAATGCTGCACTCAAATTGCTGAGAAAGATTGGCTTCAATTTTACTTCTAAGTGTTTGCACAAGAACTTGCTGCATTCTTCCATAAAACAAATAAAGGTTGACATGCTATAACATCAGGTGTTCCTTAGCAGAACCTAAAAAGATGAAGTCGTCAGCGGTTTATTTTCTCTATCGCATCCTTCACAGGTTTGCCACAGAGCTCTGTGTAGCCATGAATATAAACAAACTTCGGGTTTTTAAAAAAGCATTTTTGCTACAATGGAGAATGGCTGGCTACACAGCATATGTCTCTAGAATGACTTAAGGACTTATGTAGTCTTACAAAAAATATAAAAATCATGATAGTTTGGTTTTCTTGCAAGATCTTTGGCTTGCTACAGGGTGAGGAAATCTGATGTCACCCAGCACCTTGAATCATTTTCCTTCTTAAAAGATTCAGTTGTTTAGATACACTTATTCGAGTAAGTGGAATTAATTCATTGTGTATCTACACAGAGAGGGTCAAACTTGCACATTTTCCTAAAAAATTGTGTCAAATCTAGCTTTTATTTGAGCATCAATTCCAAATATCGATAATGACTCATTTACACAAACAATAGGAAATACTGCCATTTACTGTGCCAATCTACCTCTCCTGTCTTGCAATATCCATATGGTGTAAGTACATTCCCAAGTTTAAATACCCTGATTTTACTACATTTTGCAGCTGGGGAGGTAACTAAAATCTGGTTAAAGTGAATGTGTGCCTACATTGTCTGTTTAAACTGACATGACTCTACCCAGGACACCTTGCCTGTTGTACAAGAGTTCATTTGGTGTTTTTTCACCACCAATGTGCAACGAAAAGACGTTCAGCTTCTATGTGTTATAAGTGTGCATAGGAAAACCTGAACGATCTTGGAATGAATGGGTGAGGGTCAAAGACAGAAGGGCGAGCGGCTGAGCTGCGGGGTGTGTGTGTTCTGCTGACTGCAGGGCTCTCCCGTGGCTGCGGGCGGGACGCTGGGGAGGAGGGAACTCTGCTTCTCGAGCATCAGCCAGCAGAGGGTGTCTTTTAGCTCCGCCGGCACCTGCTGTCCGGTCTGTCTGCGAGCCGAAGGAGCTGACAGGTGGAGTGGTGTGTGGTAAGGGGTCTCGGAGGGGTGCTGTCCACTACGCCTGCACCTGTCTGCAGTGCTTGCAGTCTGACTCAATCGGGCCTCTTGGTACCGTGGTACACAATGCTATAGGTGAGCTTGTATAATGGCAGAGGCAGAGTGCGTGAATGAGACGTGTACAGGACACTTACTGTAGGGCAGCGTTGTGCGCCGGTGGGGGGCCACATCAGCATGCCTGTTGTCTAATTAGCTGCAGTTCACAGACCTGCCAACAGGGGACAACATGGGCCACAGAGATGTTGCAGAGCAGCCCCTAGGTTAGATCCAGCAAGAAACCAGGTGTATCTCTTCTGAACTGATGAGTACAGCACCGGCAGGCCTGAAACCTTCACTGCAGTAAGAACAGCAGGAAAGTTAGTCTGCATAAATTATTACAATGAATACAATGCTGTACTCACGAGCTGCTGTATCACCCTGCAGCTCCCAGCTAGCAGCCCACTGGAGCTCAGCAGGGTGAGCCTGGTCAGTACCTGAAGGGGAGACTCCTGGGAAAGCTAAGGCTACTGCTGGAAGAGGTGTTAGTGGGGCCAGTAGGGGGTGCTCATCCTGCAGTCTATGTGCGTCCTAAAGCCGCAGTATAATGATGGGGACACTGCCTCAGAGGAGATGTAAAACTGAGGTCCTGATTCACTGTGGTCATTAAAAATCGCCGTGCCGGAGAGCCAGGTCAGTGAATAACACACCACGACACGACAGCGGAGGAATGTGTGTGCTGTTCGACACAGAAACGAACTCACGTGTTCGACAGCTGTCGCAGTTCACAACAAGGGTGTTAATAGGGCCAGCACACTGCGATCATGTGAACTGATGGCACTTGCTGGCGCTATCCAGAGCAGCAGGCGGGGAAGGGGCTCCTTCCCCCTTTCGCAGGAGGGGTGAACTCCAGACAGCAAACGTGTGACACATGCCCTGTACTGTATACAGTATGTGCTATTGATCTTACAAATATGAACCTTTATTTTTTAAATCTGAAGCATGGTACTTGTCCTTTCACAGAGAGGACTGGGAAAGTGTTGCAAGTACCACGTACTAAGACTGACCTAAGATCCGAAAGGGAAACAAGTGCATCTACAGTGCCGTCAGGAACTGTTTCGTTAGCATCCTGCCAGGTGATGCGACATCATAATGCTTCATCAGAAGAAGAGGGTGATGGGACGTTTTCCATTCAGAAATTGCTTTGGATTCATATGAAATCCTGCGGATCGGCCCTCTTCCAAGACTCCGAAAGGTCACCTGCGCCTCCCCCGCAGTGCAGATTCCTGCTGCAGCAGGTGTCCTGGTCCAACATCCCGAGAGCCCTGGCTCTCTGCCTTCCGGCTCATGGATTGCCCCACAGCCTGCTAGTTCTCAGATTGATTCAGAAATTACTTCTTCATTTTTCTTTCTTCTTCTAAAAAACTAAAAAACCTTTTCTTTCCGTGCCCTTATTTAGGCATCGCCCAGTGTTTAACTAAAATTTAAGTCCCGAACCTGGTCTGTGCTGTGTGTAGTTCCAGAGATATAACAACTTGTTTGAGGGAAGTAAATTCCAGCGGAAGCTGGCTCTGGCAGTAAGAGGTTTAGTCCAGGGGGCTCTGTGCCCACAGGCCTGAGGCTGTCAGAGCAGGTGAGGAGATCTGCCCACGCTTTCCTTGCAACTGCGCGCCAGCCCGGGCCTCCTGAGTGCCCCAGTGCCGGCAGCGGACGAGAAGCTTTGCAGGCGAGGAGAAGTCTGCCTGGGTGCTTGAGTAAGGACAGGAGCAGCTGTGAGGCTGGTTGTGCACAGGGTGACACAGGAAGGACAGCCTCAGCTCTGCGGAGGACGGCAGGTGTGACCCAGCTGCCAGTCCTCTCTGCACTGGGGTCAGGATAACAACTAGGCTCCCCTGGCAGAGGTCATCAAAGGCGATGTGGAAGTTCAGGCCCTGCCTCCCGGCTGCTCCACCCTTGTGTGGAGTATTCCACTCTGTCACGCTCCACGGGAATCAGTCTGCTTTTAACACACTGTTCATCAGTCGTCCAAGAGCTGTACTCATCACTCACCAACAACATATTCAGGGTCAGGACCTGAGCTTGAATCAATGGCTCCTGCAACAGTTATGGAGAGCTTGGCCACAGCATGCATAGTCACGCACAGCCTCTTCTGCAGGAGCACCCTCCAATCCAGAACACCCCGAAACACTCCAGGACACCCCAAAACACCCTGAGCGCTTCACTGCCTGGAGCAGCTCTCAGGAACTGCAACAGGCGTGCTCCCCGTCCGGTGAACATACCTCCGATGTACATTAGGACAGAATTGCTACAGAAATCAACAATCCGATCTGCTAGGATCAGAGGTGAGCAGTCAGGATGAACCCAAAGAAGATTCATCTCACTGCTGTCTCAGGTCTGATTCCTCATTGATGCTGCCCTAACTGCTTGCCTCCAATCCTAACACTTTCCGACTGGCCACACCTGGACACCTGGACGGGCACTGTAGCAGCCTTGCAACATTTTTAGCAACTACGTCTAGTTCTTCCACACAGATTTATCTGAGTCACTAAAATGCTGATTAAAGGACTTGTGTGGAGAGCTGACGGAGTTCTGTAATGCACACGCTGGAGAACGAAGCCTCAGCTGGGCTGCTGGTGGACTGTGACCAGGACTCCTGGGATGGGTGCCACCTCACCAGGACTGCCTGGGCCTGTGCCAAGCATGCTGTCCTTGGCCTGCCACAGAACAGCTGCACCCTGTGACTGGCCGCAGATCTGTGGGTTGTACACTGTTACTAGAGGGGCCCTATCAGTCTCTCAGTGCCGCGCAGGGTGAAGCTCTGTGGGGTGCTCTGGGTGACATGGGAGGAGCTGTGGGTGAGGTGCTGTGGGAGGTGCTCTGGGTGACAGGTGGGTGGAGCTGTGGGAGGGGCTCTGGGTGAAGGGTGGGTGGGGCTGTGGGAGGAGCTGAGGGTGACAGTGGGTGGAGCTGTGGGAGGTGCTCTGGGGGGCAGGTGGGTGGGGCTGTGGGAGGTGCTATTTGTGACAGGTGGGTGGAGCTTTGGGAGGAGCTGTGGGTGGTGTTCTGGGGGACAGGTGGGTGGGGCTGTGGGAGGAGCTGAGGGTGACAGGTGGGTGGAGCTGTGGGAGGTGCCCTGGGGGACAGGTGGGTGGAGCTTTGGGAGGTGCTCTGGGGGACAGGTGGGTGGAGCTTTGAGAGGAGCTGTGGGTGGAGCTGTGGGTGGTGTTCTGGGGGACAGGTGGGTGGAGCTTTGGGAGGAGCTGTGGGAGGGGCTCTGGGTGAAGGGTGGGTGGGGCTGTGGGAGTAGCTGGGGGTGACAGGTGGGTGGGGCTGTGGGAGGTGCTCTGGGGGACAGGTGGGTGGAGCTTTGGGAGGAGCTGTGGGTGGTGTTCTGGGGGACAGGTGGGTGGGTCTGTGGGAGGACCTGGGGGTGACAGGTGGGTGGGGCTGTGGGAGGTGCTCTTTGTGACAGGTGAGAACAGCAATTAGGTGCAGCTGTGTGAAGTGCCTGAGTGATGGGGGAGAGCTAAAGGCTGGAATGATTTACTTAAAATGGCTGTGTTGTAGTCTGTGATAACTATTTTAGCTGTGGTAGCTATTGTAGATTCTAATAAAGATCTGTGTGGAGTTCTCTCAGGTGGTCAAGTTTCCTTCCACTACACCGAAGATGTGCTGGTGAGGTTGGTAGTGTCCCTGAATTGCCCTGTGTGCCTGTTTGTATGGTGCCCTGCGAGGGACCGGTGTTCCATCCAGCACGTGTCCCTGTGCAGCCAGGTGGCTGGTTAGGACCTCAGGCTGTGGCAGATTAATCCCGCAAAGGTTCCGTAAAGTTCCGAAAGTAACCAAATCCTAAAAACGTAAAGAGATGCCGTAGTCAAGGGGTTGAGCAAGGGTTTCGAGAGCGAAAGGACAGTTCACCTTAAAGTGTTCTTTCCCAGGAAGATGAAGCGAGGGTTGAGCTCTGGAGAGGGAACCTCAACAGTGAGCGCAGACTGGGTGGAGTGAGAGGGTATTGATAGGGAGGAGCGTGCGGGGTGATAATTGATTAATTCTTGCGCGGGTGTTGGCGGCGAGAGGTGCTCATGGGTATGCGGTGATGTTTAAGTGCTCGCGTGCGGCCCGTGACAGTGTGGCACTCTGGCTTGTGCCCTGTGCTCCCAGGACAGGCTTTGGGTTTCTGTAACCCTTACCAGGAATAAGCGGCTTTATGACAATTAATGGAGGGATCATTGGTGATCTTAACTTTTGTCTGTAGCATTTGACATAGGTTTGAGATTGTCCCCTTGTTTTCCTCTTTAAGAAACAGCTGGACGAAATCAGTATGCTGATAGCAGCCAAACAACCCAGACCGGACGAAACAGCCCCTCTTGTCTGTAGTTCTTCCATTCTTGTAGCACCAAGAGTTCCTGAGTCCCAGGTCTGTGACCATCCAGGGCCAATACCATGATCTGAAGACTTGCCTCCTGACTCTAAGGCAGCATAGCGTGGTCCATATCTGAGGGCCAACGCAACTAAGTCTTTTTTATTATTTATTTTCATTTCTGTATTGAGAAGCTACCTCTTTTGGTACCCTATGTTATTGACAGAGTTTGCCAAAGAGGGGATTTTTCTTTACAAAAAGGACAATCATAATGTGTCACATGGTGCTAAAGTGTATCTTAACCTCTGGGTGACAGTGCACCACAGACTGTACACAAAGTCAGTAATTAGAGTAATACCAGGAAGTCTGCTCCTGTGTGCTTGAGCATTGTCATCTGACTGTCTGACCTCTGATGCTCCACCTCACAGTGAAGCAGCCCATCAGGTATTCTACATGTGGGAGAGGATGACAGAGGTAATAATAACAATAATAATAATATTAATAATAATTGCTGACACTTCTGGACACTCCACTCAAAGCACTTTAGAGGTAATGGGGACTCCCCTCCACCCCCACCAGTGTGCACTAGTACGCTCACCACACACCAGGCACACAGGAACATTAGAAAGATTACAAACAGGAGCTCGTCGGATCCCTCTAGGCCATTCGGCAGTAAGGGCGAGACGCAGGGACAGCCAAGGAAGACAGGACAGCATGTATGACCTTAGATGAACGAGGCATGTGGAGATTAAGGAACAAGGAAAGGTTTATTCCTGCTGAAAAGGGAAGAAAAACACAATGTTTTGGCTGTGGAGCCTTCTCTGGGTATGTCAGAAGAGGTTAGGTGTCACTGTCTATTGTCACACACCTACAGTCCTGTGGGCAGGACACACCTGTTACTTGACGAATCACTGACTTGTCACTGAATTTTCATAGGACTGCTGGATGGGACCCTTGGATCAACTAACTACTGGCTATCAGACGGGCCAGCTGGGCTCCTCGTCCGTGACCTTTCTCCTGTTCTAATATTAAGGAGAGATGCTGAAGGAAATATAATTGTTAAACCCGGGCTGCTCCGCTTCAGTCCACCCCGTCACGCTGTACCGCTGCAGTCGGTTCACGGCTTGTTAATTGAATCATTAGCAGGATCAATTCAGCAATTAATTAATGAGCAGGCCACATCAAAGCAACAAGGAGAATTGAATGAAACGAGAGCAAACCCTGTCAGCAGGATTTATTGATAACCCCTCAATTCAGGACCTGCAGCGCGGAGGGGTGATAAGGACTCTGGGAAGGATGGTTGCAGGTTCAAATCCTGGTGCTGTGCCATTGAGCGAGGCCCTTCCCTCTGATTGCTTCAGCCAGCACTTTGCCATATAAACCGATCTCCAGGTTGCCATTATTAATGAGGATTTGTTCTTAATTGACCTACCTGGTGAAGTGAAGGATAAAATAGAGTTGTGATTGATCGGACAGGTGGTTTGTTAAACGAAGTAGTTTAATGATCATTAAGAAACAAGATCAGAATAACCTCCAGCCCATGTGGATCGGAAGTTCTTTAACCATAAAAATGAATTGCTAATTGACGAACAACTTCCAAGTGTTCCTAATCTTTAAAAGAGCTGGGGCTGACCTATAAATGTTCAGTAGGTTGGAGGCTCTTCAGGACAAAGGAGGTAGATGCTTGTTTTCATGAATGTATAGAAATGTCATCTTGGACAGGAAGAGATTATAGAATATTTTAGTGTGTGTTGCACTATATTGCATTGGAAAATGGTTTGCCTTAGCTCAAGTAAAAAATGAGTGGAGTGATTTTAATTAGCTGGGAAATCGTTTTCAAGCGGCTTCATGTAAGGATTACAGGCGGAACTGCGCTCCATCCGGGCCGAGCCCGCATGCCCTCGGACCGCGGCTGGGAGGAGGCTCTGGTGTCAATTCTAGTGTGTGTGATAAAGGGGGGCTGAGGGGGGCGGGGGTGCGAAACTACTGTTGGAGGTATCGGACAAGGCTGTCAAATAAAACATGCGAGTCACCCGAGGCGGGGGCTATTTAATATCCTTGTTTTCCGTGACGAACCCCCTCCCCCCAGGTAATGCACTCGAGAGAGGCAAAAGCTGCCCAGCAAGAGGCCGGCAGTGCAGCCTGTGCCCCCTTTGACAGATCCATATTTCCCCTTGTGCTGGCACAGTCCGGACCGGACACTGGGCCGGTGAGCCCGGGGCTGCGCAGCGGGGGGGTCGCGCCCTGCCGCCCGGTGGCGCACCTCGGACCCTCGGCTGGGCGAAGCCGTGCGGGCAGGGTGTTTCGAGAGGCAGGCGGACCGGGTTGCGAGCGGACTCTCCTAACTTATAGGATCACCGGGGCAAACGCACAACGCCTGAACAGGCCTTTCTTTTTCTTTACTTTTCCTAGAGATGCCAAGACGCGCCGTCAGCCTGTGGCCACCCTCTGGGTGCCGCTTGAGCCCCTGCTAAGCGCAGATCCGATCCATTGCCCAAATTAACCTTTACGTTTTTTTAAATAAAAATAAATATAGGCGGGCCCTGTGGGTGGGAAACCCTGAGTGACGCGGGCGGCGGCCAATCGCCTGTTGGAGAGTTCCGTTTCCTGGCGTGTAATCTCGAAGCTCCCCCATGAGAGACGTGTAAACCGAACTTGACGCTGTCGCGCTGCCCCCTGACGGACGCGGCTCCGGGCCAATCCCGTCCCGACGTCGCCGGGCTCTCGCCGATCCTATTGGCGAAAGGCTTGAAGAGGGGGCGGAGTGTTACCGGAACGCTACACAGTCGGTTAGGTTGTAAGAAAGTTAATGGCTGGGGGGGAAAGGGATTCTCTTCTCTTCTCGCTTCAGGAGAGTTTCGGGATTTTCTGAAGTAAAAATACCATAATTTATAAACAAATATAGCCCCGAAGGAAGTTAAGAACCGTATTAAGTTTGTTAAACTACATATTACATAGGGAAGTATGCAGGATGCAGTAGCCGGGACGGCAATGCTGACGGACGGCTTCGAGGACGAGATTGACTCGGTGACTCCGCGCTCCCCCGCGGTAGGGATGGGGGTCGGAGCGGCACCAGGAGCCGGGCTCGGTGGCCTAGGGATCGGTGTCGGCGGAAAGAAGGTCCGCCTGTTCGGCGAGCCGGGCGGGCCCGCCGCAGACCGGCTGGACTTCAAGCTCGCTGCGGCCGCAGTGCTCTCCTCCGGGCCGGGCTCCGGTAGCGACGAGGACGAGGTCTCCGAGGTAAGCTCCGCTCACAGACGAGGAGGTCCTTTTAACCTGCCCTCTGCCCGCCGGCACGGTTACGGGGGGGAAAACAACCCCGGTTTTAGCGCAAAAAAAACAACAAACGTGCGCAGCCTACGTGATTGGGCACGGCCACTGGCAGCGTGGGGCGCCGAGGTACGGGCACGGCTGTATTTTTACACTAACATCCGCGGCGCTTTCGTTGATGGCGGACCTAGGGCCTAGTGCCGCTGACTGCAGCGGGAGCAGCCCCTGCACACACGGGCTGCTGCGGGTCATTTCCCCGGGAGATCGGGGAGGAATCCGGGGGCCGACGGGTTTTGTGGAAACAATGGTGCGGCTGCGTCACTGCGTTACACCTCGTGGACGCGGTTTTGATCCCTTCATGTTGGCGAGTGGAGGGGATAGCGGCGTGTCACATTGTAATTAAGACCGATTAGAGAGCCCGGCTTCCCGACGTTTCCTGCACACGAAGGCTTTTTCCAGTGGTTATCGGATTCCTGATCGTGAAAAGACCAGAGGCGTTTTATGCCCCCACCCCCGTGGATCCCGAACACACGCATAACATGTGTTCTCGGTGTAAACTAATATGGCAGGTATTTTCTCACACTCCGGGCGGGTGTTATCCATGTTGGGAAGCGGTTGTTGCAGTTCATGTGGAGCCGAGTACGTCAGGGAAGTCATTAATCGTCCGATAGCGTAACCTTTTTTTTCCCCTCCTCAAGCACCCCCCCCCCACAAGAAAAACAGCACCCCGACAGTTTCCACCTGCGGGAGACTGAGGCGGCGCAGGTCTCGGATCTTGCTCCTGTCAGACCGTGCTCTCACCGGAGAGGTCCCGGGCCGCCGGCCACGGACCCTGCACCACGCGTGGAGGACCCTGCCCACCTGTCTGCCTCTAGAAATGCCCACCATCGCTCTAGCAACAAGATTTGTGTTTATCGCCAAGCGGCAGGAATATCAAAAACCATTACCCCTTAGAGACGCACAGTCGCTTCATGGTTAAATAAGGTGTGTGGGGGGCATTTCTGTGAAGAAGGCGATCTGTCGGCCACCACAGTGGGTCCTTCGAAAAGAATTCACGTATTGTTTTGATGAGTGTGATCATGACTGTTGCAATTAAAACGGCTCTTTTCCGTTCTGGAGACGCGGGGTTCGCTGCCTGCGATGTGACAGGGGAAAGTGCAAAATTTTGCCTCTGCTTCTATAACCAGGTTTCCAGGTCTTCGGTGTGGCAGCGAAGAGTACATGTCTGTATTCTTGCATGCATCTTAAATTTTCTCATTAACTCAAGTTCAAGCTTGCAAACCTAGTTTTGGAAGATCAGTTATTTTTCCAACATCCAGCCCAACATTTTTATGGAAAATCGAGTTCTCTGTCCATCTAGATACGATGGTGACCGGAGGTGGTTGGAAATGAGGCCCAGATTGCTGTGAAGTATGATTACATACTGCCAGCATGCTAAAGGACCCCTCTGTGGCAGGACTTTCCCCGCCTTACTGGATAGTTACTCGGATAGTCAAGGTATACAACTAATCTTATTTCTCTGATCTCCACCTGAATGGGTTCATTAGGATTGGTTTGTGCTCTTGTGCTTCTGGAGGAGCACTGTAAGTAAAGAGTGTTGGCTGGAGCCATTAGGACTGGTCAGACCAAGGCCAGGTTTGTTCCAGTGACACGACTGGCGGCAGAGGTCACCTGACTTTGATACATACTCCTGGACAGACTGACATTTCGAAGGTGGGGAGAGTGGAAGTGATGGCACTGTGTGTATATCCACAGGAGCGCAGCTGCTGTCCTCTTGAGAGCTAATGGGAACTGGGATTTCAGGATACTGTCTGTCATAGAATATTGTTGCAGTCCCATCCCATGGGTTCTGGAGTTCCCACTACTCTTGTAAGCATTGATGGAATAGCTTTTTTCCTAATTAAACTAATGACTTAAAATTAATCACCAGTAAAAGCAGTGTGCCATAGATGGACTTTAATTTAGACTCGGTTATGACATCACTTGAATTTTAACTAAAAACCAGGTGTTTTTAAATCGGGTGATCGCTCTGTGCTTTCTCCTGTCATTTCAGTTCTTTCATCTTTTGATTTTTTGGCTTACTGAAAACATCAGCAAAACATGTTACTAAAAGGGTTTGGAAAAGTTTTTTGTGAGTGTCCTGGGAGCACATTTGTGTTACACAGAGCTTGGGATGTTGGTGTAGCATGGTGTACCTGCCAGACGGATGCTGTGTGTTCCACAGTTTCAGAGCCACTGTGGTCGGCCGGGTAGAGGGGTTGTTTTAATGTCCGGGTTCTTAGTGCACTGGTTTCTCCCTGGTGCTGAACGGAAGAGGTGGCAGAACTTTGTGCGGAAGCTGACTTGGGCTGCAGGTGTCTGAATCTGAGCACCTCTAATAAACAAGCCCCACGTTTCCTCCCGTTGGCCGTCTGTCCGTAGTCATTTGTGCTGTAGTCTGCAGATACAGGATTCCCGTATATTTCACTGCTGCAGCAAGCACACAGGTTACACAAGTGTAGATCAATTCTGGCTTCCATGTGGTCATGTTAATCTAAGGACAAAAATTAATTGAAATGGAAAATTGCAAGCAAAGAGCCTTTGTATACGGTAACTTTCTCAGAGACCGCCTTAGCCCAGGATGCCGGTGAGATCCAGTCTACACAGGAAGCGAAGAGGCAGCCTCGGTGTGATTGTCATGGACAAACCTGCACACCCTCTTGTCTGCTTCAGTTTGGAGTATCCGCACACATCATCACTGTGGATATGTACCATCTGCAGACTGTTTCTTGGCACCTGTTTCCAGTTCCCTTGAAAACTGTAAAACATCTGACCTTGCAGGTGTGACAAAACGATGGACGAAACATTTACCTGTGCTTGTGTTTTCGACTCTGGGTTTTACTCCAGGTTAAGACTACACAGGAGACAAGTTAGTTTTTTAATATTTCTTGTTGGGTGTGTTTTGCATCATAATGTTCAGCTATTGAAAATAGTTATTAGCCTAGTTGAAATCTATAGACACTGATGGATTTTTGATGTAGTGTGTGCGAGTTATAGTTTTCTCCTATACTGAGGGTTATTCCATTATAACTCCTTTACAGCATTACAGTCTCCACTCCCATTAGAACTGGGGGTGGATGAAAAGACAAATTAGGTTTTTCCTTCATAGCCCTGGTCACACTGCAGACATAAGGCTTGACTAATTTTATGCATTCAGTATTAAAAATCTTCATTTGACGCCCAGCTGCTGAAACGCATTGCAGAGTGGGAAAACATGTGGAGAGAATTGTCAGATGTCATGGCTGCTTTTCGTGTCTGCATCTCTGTGGGTTAGCAAGAATGACAGCTGACCAGAAGGGAAGAAGCTGGGGGTGGGTGGCTGGGTTGTGTGGAGTTCTCGCTTTGCTTGAAATCGTTTTGAGAGCGGATTGTTGTGAGAAGCTGTCAATTTCAGGGGGCCTTGGTGACCCTGCTGAAGTTGTGGTGTTTTGAACTGTTCGTCCTAGCTGACTGCAAGCTGTTTTGGGCTGCAGTTAAAATCTGAGGTCCAGGATTAGGTAGACACATTGCCAGGCCTTGCAGGCTTCACGAGCATGAGCAGGAGCAGTAGTGCACTCTGGGAGCTGTAGTGGATTAGTGGAAGTGATGTGCACTGTCAAGCGCTTCGCTAGCAGTGGTTGAACTACAGCCCCCAGACACCATTGTATCCTGCATTCCTTTAATACACATTCCTGAAGAGCTGTCTGCCATTAACATTTGCTGTGTGTCATTTCCCTAGTGTTTTTTTCTACCCATTTCATTTGCACTTCTGTTCTCTATTCCAGTGATGAGAGAATTTAATCTGTAATAGTAAGGACTTTTTATAGATGGGGAACCTTCTACACAAATTACACCCATCATTTTATAATGCAGGCGCTTGTATTAATCACATCTTATATTTGTATTGAATTAACATCTTATGTGTTATTAACACGGTTTTTATGGACAGATTTTTCATCTAACAAAACAGGGGGTTGTAATAGAAGCCCAGCCACATGCTTGATTCATTCAGTGTGTATTTTTATGACAGGGTGGTGCCCTTTTTTTCCCCTTCTTCCCATGGTTTTACCAACACGCCCTGTGCAGACCTCCGCTGCTCCTCTTGATTATCTCAAGATGGTTTTCCAAAGGCACCGGCCCAGGCTTTTGGACCCTGTGTTGCACCAGAAATCATCTCTTAAGATGCTAGTTTTACACTTCCCTGTCTATGCCAGTGCCTGCATGTTTTTTTGAAGTTTGGATTTTTTTTTAAGAGCCACTGTGTTTGTGAGTGGTACTTAGCAGTGAGAAATGGTTGTTCCCAAGAAGAGCTTTACGTTGTTGTAGTGTGAATAAAATCTCATTAGTCTGATTATTCCAGTGCAGGTAATAGTCCTGCGTTGTGTTCTTCTTCAGAAGACGGGAACATTGTCAGATGGCTCACGTCCGTTTGGGGCGCACAATCTTCATTTGAAAAATCTGATTATATGAACTAATGAACATATTGGGGTTAAGGCCTTTATCTCTTCAACGAATTAATCACTGCACCTAAAACTAGATACTGCTCAGTGCCTGTTCCTGGTTCAGCACAAGGGCATGGCTCTTGTGACGTGCATAATAATCCTTAAGAGAATCGCAAATGAGAAATAAATGGTGAACCGTCCCCACAAAGGGAAAGAACTGTATATGACTTAAACTGGCAAAGGTACAAATTGCTATCTTTTAACAGTTTAAACTGGAAATCTGAACAGTTTTTGCTGAATGTGATGTCCAGTGTTTCCAGGTATACCAGGCCGTTTGCTTTGTGTAGAGTCGTATAAGTTCTGGAAAAGTCACCATGTTCACACTGTCTTCAGCCTTCTTACAGCATGCTGGACACTAGAACCTGCTCTGGATTCTTGTTTTTAATGATGTGCACCTGAGGCAAATAATAAGGTCAAATGTCTTCTTTGATTCCAGCCACCATGCCCAGT